ATGGGACCCTCTGACCTCACCTGATATGTTCCTCCCTGTAGTTCTGTTTTGTATCATTCTACATAACAAAACTATAATACTAATATAGCAGAATCATTAGTTCAGTGTGTGATCCCTATCATGGGATCCTGGGACTCTGCAGACAGTTGACTTGGAGTGATGGCATCCTTGGGAACTCCTGAACTTGAAGCCTAAGTCTGAAATGAAACACTCTTGGGGAGGCATGGCCCTGAACTTGTAAAATAATTTAATTAGTGAATTAAATGTTTGCAGCTATGGCTTAGCAGAACAGTCATAAGAAACATTTTGGAGATGGCTGAGGAAATACAGGCAAGATCTATACAGGAAATACAGGCATCATCTGAGGAAAGAGTTGTTAAATTTTCTAAGAGTGATAATGGCATTTTTTTTTTGTACAATGACAATTTCAGATGATATATATTGAAATATTGACTGAAGTGTAATGTATCAAACTAATTTTCAAGTACCCTATCACTATCAAGTAACATGTGCATATATATGCACATACATACACATATCAAATTATCTAAATGTCAACATTTGATGATACCATCCAGCCAACTTCTGTTTCAAAATATTTCTGACAAGAAGTTGAAAAGGCTTCCCAAGTGTTAAGTAGCATACAGGCTCCCAAGGGACATGTGGGTCTCCTTAATGTCCAACCACAGGGCAGAGGCTCTCCCTAACGTGGCCTGTACGAACGAACCTGAGACACCAAAAATCATGGGAGTGTTATCATCTTCTTAGACTTGCTGTTGATAAAGGTCACCCAACCCAGGATCAGCCACCATGAGAGGCCCACATCAGCCTCATGGCACCCATAGCACCTGGCACACTAGCCATGGGGACCAAGTTCCTGAATGGGTCCTGGCAGTGCAGGTATTGGAGGACATGAGAAAATGCTGATGGAAGGGCACAAACTGCCAGAGAAAATGTGAGTAAGCACTGAGGATCAAAGTGACAATAGGTAACAATGTGACCCTGTCTGTCTGAATTTGCTAAAGAAGATCTTAAATGTTCTAACACCACACACATACAAAACAGACAACTATGTTAGGTAATAAAGGGTGTTGTTAACCTGACTGTGGTAGCCATTGCCCAATACATTTCCATTTAAGTCAAGGCAGTATAACTTAAATATACATAATTTATTTGTCAATTATACATCAATAAATCCAAAGACAGAAGAACATAGAGAAATGGGTAGAGGGTCCGCATCATGCAATTCTATCATCAAATAAGACTTTAGGAGTCTAAGAATGGACACAGAAGCTGGATTGCTTCTACATATGCACAAAGGATCCTGTAGAGTCTCTGGTATATGGGGAATTCTCACTATATAAAGAGTAATGGATGAATAAAGAAGTATATATGGGGACCAGTATTATCTATCATATGTAAAACTATTGGCTGCCTACCTAAATTTCTATGGACATCTCTTCCACAAGAAGATCTTTTCAGGTGTCCATGTGGTGCTGGATAAAAGTGCAATCCCATGTCTGTGGAGAATGCTCAATTCAGAAGTATATTTTCTTCATCTGACAAACTGACCTATCTTTATCACTGCAGTCGATGTCATTCCAGCCCCAACCAGAATATCGATGATTTATTATAACACATTGTTCGTAGTCATAGCTGGGCTCACCTAGGTGCCAGAACCTGGAAGAGAGGAAAGAG